GTCTTGTGATTGGTTGTTGACAAATGCTGAACAGGCCACGCCTCCAACTGTGTCGTGCGTTCGGACTAATCGTTAGGAATTCCTAAATGGAGTCAATTTGTGTAGTTTTCTTGATTTATTCTGCAGATATCGGTAAAATGTAGATAAGGCTTTGGCGAAATTCGAAGGAGCAACTAATATTCTTCAACCTGGTATTTTTTTTAGATTTTATTTTTTATTTTTTTCGTCTGTTTTTTCGAGTTTAAAAAATGTGAGCTGGCTGGAGCCTTCATCCCTTGTCTATTTCTTACACTAGATACCAGCCGATACCCCCCCCCCCCCCGCTCATAGAGACTGCGTATTACAGTTGATCATAGTTCCTGGGCTCCCTGTGCCCCCACCCCATAACAAAATCCTGTATCCGCCCCTGCACTGTATCATGTGATGTTGAAACTTGATATGTCACGTCATTTACTGAGTATTGATTCATGTATTTGCAGTCTGCATATTTAAGTTAACCTCAAGTTCTAAGTTACCTGTTGATGGTACTGTAGGTAATGGTAGTAAACTAGTGACGTAAGATACGAGAGTCACATGAATTGCGAGATCGTGGTGATCACAAAATCGGACGACAAATATTTCAGGAAATACTATTCCAAATCAAATTAACTGTCTAGTGTTTTGCTATTGGCATATGCTTAATGTATTTAAACGATAATCTCGTTTTTTTGCTGTTTACGTCATCGAATTTTTCCAGTCTTTCACTGCCTTCAGTGATGCAATTGGTTAGAAATTTTGCGGGGGGGGGGGTAGATCTGCTCACCAACCTTGCGCCGAAGTCGCGACCTTACAGGGGGCCCGGGGCATGCTCCCCCTTAAAAATGTTGAAATATAGACCCTCTGAAACGCTATTATCTGCATTTTGAAGGGCAACTTTTGCTGTCACAATGGGTTTCAGTTTGATTTTCAGCCGCCGCCACTGCAAAGAATACGAACTTCATCGCATTTATCATAGCTGTTGACTCTTATTTTACATAATTAAAGCGTGGTGTTCGTCACACAGCGGGTGTTCCAATTTCTTGTTAACAATGTATTTTACACGCGTTGTATACGTCGCTATGAGTCCCATATCGAACAGAACGCGACGCGACGACCACCGCCCTTTGACAAAATATATTGACAGACTAGCTCCGTGAACACAACCCTAGCATAAAAGAAATCAGTCACAGTGTGCATCGATAAATACGCCAGTCATACTAATTAAGTAAATATAGTTTCATAGACGTCATGACGTCATCTACATATCGATCATCGAATGAAACTATTACTAGTAAATTTAATTTTTGTGAAGAGATTGTAATTGACAATTACCTTATTCATATATTATTAAGTGAATATTTACGGATTTAAAACAGCTATTACACAAACATGGTTCGTATCGCATAAGCTTTAGTCCTATTGGTGAAAAATGTGACTTTTTGACTGATCCCTTGGGTCTAGCTTGTTTATTGCGTATAGATGTTATTTCGTGCACTCACAGGACTCGGTTGAGGTCACCAAAGAGCACTCAAAAACTTGTATTCCTATTTGTTTACAGTTCACTGAAACGTTTCTCACCGAGAAGGAACAGTTCGAAAAGCGGAAAACAGGTTTGTGTGAAAGATACGTTTATTATATTGAATTACAACACAGAATAATCGTCGAAGCTTAATCTTGGGTACAACAACCATCAGATAAGTCTAATATACAGACAAATAATTCATATTCACATTTTTGAATGAGTAAATCTCCTATAAAATATTGAAATTATGTAAATTACGGATCAAACGACTTTTTATCGACGTATCAACTATCTTCGGTCTCGCTTATAATAGTAATTCTCTGCATTTGCGCTTCCAACGTGTTAAAATTCGACATCATTTATTGAGAAAATTCTCACTACACATATGATACCGTATTTGTGCATTAGTAGACCAGAATCTATGACAGGGATTAGTGTTAAAATTATATAAAAACACAGATTAACTTCAACAACACGTGTTATACTGTTGGCAGCGCCTGCTTGCTGACCATGTACCTTAATTTGTTTCTTCATATAGAGGGCGATCTTCTATTCATGCAAGTTCCACTGTTGGAGATCGATGGATTAAAACTGGTACAGCGTGATGCCATTATTCGTTATATTGCCCGCAAATATGGATTGTATGGCAACACACTTGACGAGCAGACAAAGTATATATATTTATATATGTTATGTGGTGCTGCAAAGATACATACAATTCGTGATCTTACAAAAACACACTCGTTTATAAATCCTCTTTATATTAATCTTTACTTCTCTTTATTTTTTTCTCATATTTTGTCAGTATATATAGATACTACCGCCAACAAATTACCGGTGCGCTTAAGACACGCAACATTCGATATCAGTTTTCAGTGCGCGTCATATACGCTGAAATAAACCTATTCCACGAGATGCGTTTATAATTTATGATGTAAATAAACAACCAACACTTCGATGCTTCTATAAATATTAATTATTTATACAATATGAAATATAATGCGAGTTATGATTGTTTATCAATTAACACTCGATTCACTCAGCCCTCAAACGGATAACTACACGTATTTAAGTATATTGAAGTCACAATTATTATTACAATTTTACTTACATTATTAACGGATTCAGAATATTCAGAATTATAGTAGTAGTTACTATCTCAATAGTTTCAGCTTTAACCTACATTATTACTTTTTTTCAAGAGTTGACGTGCTGTATGAAGGAGCCAAAGACTTCCTATTCTCATTTATGTCCTTTGGATTTTATGGAGATGACGAAAAGGTTATGGAAAACATTAAATCTAAAACCCTGCCACGATATCTGCCGATATTTGAACGTGTGAGTAGCAGCTTCGTGAAAGTCATCAAAAACTGACATCAATCTTGATTATAACACCAATCCTCTAAATGAGTAAATCAATTCAGTGCTTACAGCTAAACATATGCTATCGGTTGTGTACACTTTAATACGGAATCAGATGGAATGCATTAAGTCTGGAATCGAACAGTAAGTTTCCGTTTTTATTTTTGTTGACAGTTACTGAGTGAAAGTTCATCTGGTTATTTAGTGGGCGATGGATTGACTTATGCTGATCTATGCTTGTTAGAAGCATTACTTGTTACGGAGGAATATTTCCCGGAATTGCTATCAGATTATGACAAATTAAAGGTAATTAAGAAGGGTATCCATAGTTGAGTAAGTTTTGCAGAATATACTAATTATTGTGACTGAAAAAACGTATCAAAATTACTTGTATTGAGTGGTTTATTCAAACATTTGAAATGTATTTGATGCCGAGAGTGGCTAGGAAACATGTATTTCTGAGCATTTCTGTAACCTGTAGAATCGCTGGCTGAAATAGCTCATGGTGGACTCTGTAATATTCTGAATGTTTGCTAATTAAAAACAATCAAACATCGAGATGCAGGTAACTGTAGTGTCGACTACTTGTATAGTCGTTGAAATAAATACAAATCATATACAAAGAAGATGTTTTACGTGAATGTATGTGTTGCCATAATTTGTGGAAAGTATCCCAGCAGATGAATTAATCATGTCTTACTTTGTTTCGACTTATGACAGGATTTCAAAGTCAAGATATCATCGTTACCAAGGATAAAAGCATTCTTAGAAGGGCCTCAGCGAAAGAGGAAAAATACGCCAGAGTATTGTGGAACGGTAAAAGAAGTCTACTACAAGTGTAGCTCAACGTCATTCCAGCTCCAAGAACTGGTCACTAAGAGATATTTTCGGAACCTGTCTGGTCTCGTTGTTCTTCCTTGTACATGTACAACAACTGATTAAATTTGTTTATTTTACATATTACATAAATCGCAGAATACACCATATTCGTGTCAACTTTGTAGCAGCCACTGCAATCAGATTACAATTTGATACTATATACATATTTTTTTACGTATGTTTGCATTTTTTAAATTTTATATATTATATTACCACTAAATTTTGTATTGTATTATTTTAACTTTATCCATATACATCTAAAGCGACGCATATATAACGAGATTTCAACCATTCACATACCCCACTCTTATATAGCTTCTACACATGTTAGCAAATACTATATTCTGTCTGATTGTACGACAACATTACGAATAGTAGACTAGTAAATCGGTCTATTGTTGTGGTACTTGTGTATGGGTCAGTCTAGGCATGAGAGTTCCATAGTAATCAATTGAAGTAACAGCAAATCAGTGATGTAACAGAATTCTGTGCTGATTACGTAGTCACATAGTGAGACCAGGCCATTATTAAATGTAATTGGAATTGCTGGACTCCACGTTTAATGTTATAGAGGAAAATTATCAAAAACAAATGTTATACTAGAGCGAGAAACATTTTCTCTCGGTTCAGCTACACTAGATATTATCCTCGTCAATAATGGCCAGACAGTGGCGGCGGCAGAGGGGCGGTCGCCCCCTCGAAAAAAATGTTTGGGGCGTCACCCCTCTAAAATCAAGCTGAAACCCTTTGTGTCAGCAAAACTTGTCCCTCAAAATGCAGGAAATAGCGTTCCAGGGGGGTCTAGACTTCAAAATCTTTAAGGGGGTGCCCGGCCATAAATTGGCGAGAAAATAGTAATTATTTACATTACAAAAACAAACAAATTATCACCAATATCGGTGAAATTATGAAGACTCCGCTTTACAAATTCGAGGTGCCAATGAGAGTCCTAATAATGCATTCAATCTGAAAGTTTGGCATACTGCAAATACAAGTACACATCAGCTGATTCGGCCTAGTATCCAACGCAACACGGTACTTCATGCGTATTAAATTGTTTGTTAATTATTTCCGCCCGTGAGCAAGCTGTCTGCCTGTATCAAAAGCTAGCCGTGATTGGCTGACCAAAACTTTTAAAGGATACAAATGTTTAGAATTTATCACTTTCACAATGATTCTTTAAAGCTCGGTTCGAATTACATGTAAATAAACAATGTATTTTACATGCGTTGTATACGTCGCTATGAGTCCCATATCGATCATGACGCGGCGCGACGACTGCCGCCCTTTAAGGATTTTATTGAAATAAAACTAGATTTAAAAAAGTAAACCGCCTCTATCGTTTTAAATGACTCGTTAAATAATGGACAAATGAATAAACGAAAAGAGCGCCCACTTGACTGTGTGGACGCTACGGCAAACTGTGACGTCATTTCTGAAACACACTTTAGTTACGCTATTACGTAGTTTGCAGCTGACTGCAACAATGGGGGAGGGGGTAGATTTTATCCAGTTACCAATGACAAAGACCTGAGAGGCAGATGGATACGTAAAATTGGCAGAGGAAATAAATAATCATTCTCTTTGATTTCATGGTATTTTTAAGTTTACTATAAATCTAGATTATTTAGGATACTAGTAGTGCGGCATTGCATGATTCAAATATTATCATGTTATTACGAGAATACAATATATTATGCATATCGATAGTGCGCTGATCTCGGACGAGTAAATACAGTGTCATCGTATAAACTTACAATGGACTGTAGAAGCAAATAAACAATATTTACAATGTTAAATGTCATACTAGTAATACTATTACTAGTCTGAGGTTAAATGCATATATTTTACGTGTATTTTATTAAATCCCCCACCATCTATCAAGTGCCAGTAGTCCGCATGGCGTTTTATTGACGGTTGACGTTTTACTGCCAGAAAACGACGTAATTTTCAATAATTAATTTAAATCGAAAATGACGCTTCAGTGAAAGTTCACCACGCCTCTATCATAGAAGGTAGCAGGAGTTCCTAATATCTTCCATGCTTCTATGTACTTGACTTCACAATATTTTCAACACAGGTAGTAAGTAGGTGTATTGGGCTCAGATTATGAACAATTTGCCAGCTAATAAATAATAAAAGACAGTATATGAAAAATATTTAAATAACAATAACAAACTAATAACAAACTAGGGTCTTATTTTTTCATTATAATCAGAATGTGGTAATTGCTAACTTGAATTAGTGCCCCCGCAAATTCACGCGCGTTTTTAGTCTGCTACATTCTAAAAACTTTAACCAGTTGGCTCGAATTACTATACGTGTTTTACAAAGGTGTAATTCCCGGTACAAATGATAGGAAAAGTGTATGCCTATATATTTTTAACAGGTTAGTAGATTATAGGCATGTTCCGATGAGACTAACAATTTGCATAATGAGATCACGGAATGTACAATTAGTTATGTACTGGGCGGGGATGAATCCAACTACGATATAACCATGTCATGGACGCCCCATAATTTCCACGGCTCATGGACATCCTAGTGCCCGAGGTGACTCTGGGTCAGGATTACAGTTATAACTGTATTGTAGTTATGCTAGAAAGATTGTACATGTATTACAATTATTCGAGGCAAAACCTGTGTCGATTTGTGAGCCTCATACTGGAAATTTACCTGACTGAGCTCCGTTATCTTTCGAAGCATTCATTCACGAACTCAACCACACCTAGCTTGACAAGGTCGCGTGAGTTCCGCCCTCCGCGATGCTCCAAACCCAGTGGTGTATGATGCCGTCCAACCGGCGAGGGCGCCACTCACGCCTACATGTCAGGCTACGCGGTCGGCCATCATGGATTAACTGTCCGGCGCACGTACTGTGTGATATACTGCCCTCAACGGTATGTATTATTATACCACAGCGACAAGAGACTTGAACCAAGTTAAGGATCAACGCCGTTTCAGTTTTCACAATATACAATGTATAAGTACTTTGGCAAAAATATATTTAGTATTGTGTTTAAATTGTGAACTTGCTTATCAAATTGAAAGCATGATATTTTTACATATCGGCACTCAACTCTTGAGTTCCTTGTTTCATTTGGTGTAATTCTAAATAATTATATATACCATTCAACCTATTAGAGTTTACAACCTGGAAACGAGGTGTTTTTGAATAAACACTGACCGTAAAAATCGGGATGAACAAAGTTTTAAAACCAGCAGTTTTTGATTGAAGATTTTATTTATTGGTGTGATCCGAGCTGTTTGTAACCATAACTATTGTGTTGTTGTATCAGTTGCCGATACAATTTCTAGAACCTTTACAACAACCAGGACACTCCAAGTCGTATTTGTCGCTACGAAAGTCTAAACAGGATTTCGCGTAGAACACGTATAACATGCACAAAAAATAGAGTAGAAGTTCGGATGTTGTTTATATATTTTGTCCAGTTAATTTGGATTATTTACTGTATTTTACAACAATTACACACTAGATCAATAATCAATCAACCAATAATCAATATGATTAAGTTCTGGTCCCGTGTCACAGACAAGTCACAAAATAATTATACAAAGATAGCGTTAAGCGATCAGACTTTGTCAAAAGCACAATGGGAAACATCAGTCAAAAATATCTTGAAAGATGTAGACCTCTCTAAAACATCACAGCTTACACATCAAAATATTAAGGAAATTAGCAGCACTATTAAACAACAATATATAACATACTGGAGAGAGAATATGACAAATGAAACAACAAAACTGAGAACATACATTAAATTTAAAATTAATTACAATCTGGAAAATTACATTAATGTTTTGGATAATAATCAAAGAATATCAATGGCTAGATTCAGGACAAGTAGTCACAATCTAGCCATTAAAAAAGGCAGACATACCAATCCAAAAACCCCATTAGAAAATAGAATTTGTAAACAATGCCCATTACAGGAGATCGAAGACGAATTACACTTTTTTTTAGTTTGCCCACGATATCAAACAGATAGAAATGATTTTATTTCCAATATTTTATTCCCCAAAGAAATCATTACCAACCTGCAAAAAATCACATTTAATGAAAAGTAATGACAGAAATATAATAAAACTTTTAGGGGAATTTTTACATAAATCATTTATTTTAAGAAATGAGCTTTCTTTGGATATAATACCTTTTACGTTATCATACTTTGATATTATTTTAATCACTTATATATTTATTGCTGTAAACCAATAGAACATTTGTAATTCTAAGGATGCAATAAAGTTATTATTATTATTATTATTATTATTATTATTATTATTATTATTATTATTATTATTATTATTATTATTATTATTATTATTATTATTA